CGTGAGCAGAGGAGGGGCAGATAGAGAATCCCAAACAGGCTCTGCACCATCAGTGTAGAGCCCAGTGTCGGGCTTGATCCTACAAACTGTGAGATCATGACCTGAGCCAAAATCAAGAGTTGGATGCTTAACTGACTAAGCCACCCAGGTGCCCCGTTGTGCTTCTTTTTGAATGATTAGTTTCTCTTAAAGTCTAAACTGTATTGATGATCATTGTGTGGATTTAGAAAGCTTAAAGTCCTATTATAGCCAACCGTTAGCAAAGGTACAAAAGTCTGGTATGTATTTCAGTTAGCTTCATTCCAGGCTCCACTGTATGGCCCAATTTTTGCTTTTACTGAGTCTTTTTTATGTGCTTCTAATTAGGGCTATTAATATTGTACATTATATTTTAACTGCTTTAAATCATTTTGGGAATAATGTAGATCATTAATAAATATTTTTTTATGATTTTACAATAAGTAGCAAAACTTTGCTGGGGTGCCTGGGTGACTCAGTCAGTTAAAGTGTCTGACTCTTGATTTCAGCTGAGGTCATGATCTCATGGTGGTGAGATCGAGCCCTGCATTGGACTTTGTGCTGGTTACAGAGCCTGCTTGAGATTCTTTTTCTCTCTCCCTTTGCCATTTCCTTGCTTGGGCACGTGCACTCTTTGAAAAACAAACAAACAAACAAACAAACAAACAAAAACAACTTTGCTAAGTGAACAAGGATCTACTTTTTCTTTTTCCTTTATGATAATTTCTCAAAAAATAGCTAAAAACTTTAAATAGCAACGTAATTTATACTATTAAATTACTTAAAATCTTTGATCATCTACACATAAATAACACTTATAATGTACTTTTAAACTGCTTTTTTTTTTACATTTTAAAATGTATGCATATTCACTGTAGAAAATTGGAAAATAAAGAGATGCATAAAAAAGAAAGTAAAAATCACCTTTTCCTATCACTAAATGATAAATGCAATTAGTATTTCCATTCAGTCTCTCTTCTATATGCATGTATAGAAACAAAACTTGAACATGACAATGTGTATATAATTTTACATCCTTTTTTTCTAACACATGAATTTCTCACAGAACCTTTTTATACAGGAATTTCTTCAAAAACATGATTTTATTCTATTCTGTTACATGGAGGTACCATACCTTACCTACTGCTCCCTATCTGGGTCACAGATTATGTTTCACTATCAACATTTACATTAGAAGGATATCTGTATGTATAAATATTTAACCTATGATAATTAAACACCTATGATTACTTCCTTAGAGTTGATTTGTAGTACTGGGGTTCCCGAATCAAAGGGTGTGAACAGGTTGTCTTCCTGTCTCTTCTTTAGTATTTTCTTTTTTTAATTATGGAGATTTTCAAAAATCAAAAAAGTAAAGAATGGTATGATAGAATTCCATATACCCATTTCCTAGCTAGATATGAATATTTTTAAGACTCTTAATAGATATTACCTAATTCATTTTTGGAAAGAGAAATGTATATGACAATTTATATTTATACCAGCAGAATATGTGTGAGTCCATGTTCCATCTCATCCTTGACAATGTGTATTTTACAATTTATTTTAACAGGTGAAAAATAAAAATTTGTAAATTCAATTCACTATTCATTACTAATGAGATTGGACCCTTAAAAATATATTTATTAGCCAGTTTGGTAACTTGCTATTAATTATTGTGGGTTTCAGGGGGATAGGAAAGTTTAAATTTCTAATTTAGTAAAATCTGGAAAAAGTTTCTATTTATTTTATCCTTTTCAAGTCCTTTGCTGTTCTGATAATCTCATAAAAATCCACCTATGTTTTCTTCTAGTTTCTTTGTAGTTTTACTTTTAATAATTCTAATTCACTGAAAATTTAAGTATATTTAGTAAGGTATGTATCATAAGTCAAATTGTTTTATCCCTTCAAATCTAATTTAGAAGCACTAATAGTCTGGCCTTTTCCGTTTTTTTTTGTTTGTTTTGTTTTTAATCGACATCCAAATTAGCATATAGTGCAACAATGATTTCAGGAGTAGACCCCTTAATGCCCTTACCCACTTAGCCCATCCCCTCTCCCACAACCCCTCCAGTAACCCTCTGTTTGTTCTTCATATTTAAGAGTCTCTTATGTTTTGTCCCCCTCCCTGTTTTTATATTATTTTTGCTTCCCTTCTCTTGTGTTCATCTGTTCTGTATCTTAAAGTCCTCGTATGAGTGAAGTCATATGATATTTGTCTTTCTCTGACTGACTAATTTCACTTAGCATAATACCCTCTAGTTCCATCCACGTAGTTGCAGATGGCAAAATTTCATTCTTTTTGATTGCTCCCTCTTGGTTTTTTATGTTTTATTATCATATTCGAAGTAGTTTGTATAAGTTTTCTCTTATTTTTCTGATTATAATAAACTTTTAAAACATTCTGAAATAGAATTTGTAGCAATATATTTTTGCATTTTAAATAGTGTTTGTTGTAGCAGATAGAGGCTCTCTCGTGTTCAATTTACATATTTTCTTGTATTTTGGTAAAGATACACTTGGGTGACTGGTAAAGAGCCACTTACCTACTATGACATGAATTTGTCAGCTCAGGACCATCAGACCTTTTTCACCTGTGACACGGACTTTTTACGTCCTTCAGACACAGGTATGTGTCATATCTGTTCATGGGGTAAACAGTGGTAATGAAAATTGTGTTAAAAGCTCTTTAGAGTTACTTATTAGAATATACAAATTTATTTGGCTTGGGGTTGTTTGCATCATTGATAAGAGACCCAGATTAAATTGAAACGAATTATGAGTGTACATTAACTTGTTACACTACCTACCCTTCTTATAAAGAATTTAAAATATTTTATAAAAATATGAAATTGCTTCTTTTGTTACCTAAAAAACGTTTCAGATCAAATACAGCAACTGCTCATGGGAAATTAACACATGAAATTATATACATAAAGGAAGAGTAAGACAAAGTGCAAACACTGGGGCATGGCATGTGGATTAGAATGGAGTATATTTTACCCTAGTCATTAGTTAGGGGTGCATATAAAGTAGTGGAAGATCATAGAAATGTCTATATTTAGGTGTCTCAGTCTTCTCTATAGAAGACAGTATTGAGATTCTTAAATGCATGGTTAAAGACAGGGACCTTTATCACAACTATTCTTTTACTTCAAATGCTCTCTCCCTTCTTATCTATCCTCCTACTTTTATGCTTCCTGCTTTTATCCTTCAAGATTCAGTTAAAAGTCACATTCTAGAAGAACCCTTCTCTGTCAACTCCAAAGTTAAACACTTTATTCTCTGTAGTTCTATAGTCCATGCCTCACTGAAACAATTCTAGTTAATTTATTCAACCACAACCATTTACTTGTTAATTTTGTCATGTTGCTTCAATGTTTATCTTCCCTAATAGGGTATGAAACTTTGGAAAGCAGGGACTATAGTCTCATTATCTTTGAATCCTTATCGTCTAGCACATTGCCTGGCATACTGTAAATATTAATATTTATTCTTTGATGAAAATATGAATGAATGACCTTGGTGTCACAGACGTCTTAAGCAATTTCACTAGTAATAGCTAACACTCGTATAGCACTTATTATGCACCAAGCACTGTTCTAAGCAATTTGTATAAATGTTCTGACTTAATCTTCCCAATCATTTTATGAGTTAGGTACTTTTATCAGCCTCGGAAATAAAGGAATGGAGGCAAAGGGAATCAAGTAACATGCTCTAAGTAACCTAACTAATAAATGATAAAGTTGGGTTTCAAATGCAAGTCTGACTTTTAACCACTATACTACTGCTGCTTCTATTCACCACAGTGATAGGCAGATGAAAATCAACAACAACAAGGGTCTGAAAAATAGCCAGTTTTCCAGCATTAAAGTGAGTTCTTTGTGATCTATATCTGCTGGGTTAAATATACTAAGGGTAGATAATAGCAGGAAAGCCAAGCATCTTTGGAATGGTTACATAAAGTGGTTTAATTGCAAATAGAAGAAAAAGAAATTGCTTTATGTTTATATGCTTAGTGTTTACATTAATGGCCAAAGTGTCATATTGGGGGAATAACAGAAATGGAAACTAGTATTTTATGTTAACTTTAAAGACTTCAAGAAATGAAGGCTTCACCTCCTTCTCACAAGCAGGATTATAGACATTGGTGGGCTTTGCAAATAGCAACCATGGCTATCCACTAAAGCTGTGCTCTTAGGACAGTTTTGCTCACATACCTCCTAAAGGAATTTTGAGAAACTATGTATCCTTTCACACATTTTTAACTTGATATCATAAGATTAAATAATTGTAAAGAATATAATTTTTGACATGTTACAGACAGTTAAAAATAAAACTAGATTACCCTATATTTGGATATATCTCAAGTAATCTAATGACTTGATACCCACCATTATCCATTGAAAAAGACATGAATTAATACTCTTTAGCAGTAGAAAATTTTATAAAGTCCGTTTTCTTCTTGAACTCATCCATTTTACACTTCTAATATAATTTTATTATAATTATTATATACTTGAGAATCTTTTATTTATCACACATGCTTTTCCACCATAAAAATTATTTGCATAAGTTTCTTAAAATTTAAATTTCCTTTGATCATAAGTTCTAAATGATATCATGTACTTTAATTATATTTTTTGTCAAATCCTTAGAGCTACATATTTGGCTTTTTTTAACTTTGGAAAATGTCCTCCATATAACCTAATTGGCTGGGTGAGTTCTCATTATCAATTCTATCAACCAAACCAGACTGACTTTCTGACAGAGAAGTCTGACTTCATTTTTCAAGTCAAATAAACATGCTAACATGCATCCCTATGACAGCCATCTCTCTTCTGAATTTAGATTCTAAGATAGAAAGATAGATAAGTCTTGGAGCTTTGCCTAGAGCCTATCACTTGGCCAAAATAAGATTCCAGTGCCTTTAGTATCCTTTACTAGTGCCCCCTTTGCTTGCTGTGAGGAGACCTCCCCTTAGGAGCAGCGCATTCTTTGATAGTAAGGGGAGAGCAGTGCTGATAAATGGAATTGATAAAAATTGTTTTCACTCTCTCCCCACTACAATATACTTGAATTCAGAGCATCCAGGGGCCAGACTACACTTAGTTCTTTTTTTTTTTTTAATTGTTTTAATGTTTATTTATTTTTGAGGGGGAGAGGGACTGAGTGTGAGCAGGGGAGGGGCAGAGAGAGAGGGAGACACAGAATCTGAGGCAGGCTCCAGGCCCTGCACTGTCAGCACAGAGCCTGATGCGGGGCTCAAGCTCATGAACGGTGAGATCACGACCTGAGCTGAAGTGGGATGCTTAACTGACTGAGCCACCCAGGTGCCCCAGGGGTACACTTATTTCTAATGCCTAACTTCATTGTTAAGTAGAAGGAATCCCCTGACCAAAAATGGCTGCCCCTAAACCCAAGCTTTGAATTGTCCTTTTTGGCACTTGCAGATGTTTATACTCTAGAGAATGCACCTTAGAAAAATTCAGGATGGGTGAAAAAAGCCTTTCTTTTGTAAAGGAGAAGAGAATAAATATATCTTTTGGGGAGTGGGGAAGCAGATGTTGGGTAGGAAAGGAAAACCAGCATGATGTACAGACCACTCAGAGAAACATTCTTCAAGTAGATCAGTTCTAGAAAAGAGTCATATAAAGTTGAGACTTTATAAATTGATTCTCTTAAAACCATGCATCCTATTTTGGTCCTTGCAAAGCTTCATGTACTTCTAGAGGTATGCATACTCCCAGCTAAATGCTGAGCTCAAGGACAGACTTTTATCTGTGAATTGATCCATACTGATCTTTTCAGACACTCACATAAAGGTAATGATTTATATATGTAGTTTTACATTAAAAAAACATGTACATATGTGATGTGACAAATTTCTCTTGACTATTGTCATCAGTTACTAAGTTAGTAGATTCTGTTCTCTTCCCATTGACTTGTTTACTTAAGGCAGAAAACAAATATATTCTCAGGGCCAGTCAGCACTGTTTTGGTTTTTTAAAAGATTTTATTTTTAAGTGATCTCTACACCCAGTATAGGCTTAAACTCACAACCCTGAGATCATGAGTTGCATGCTGCACTGACTGAGCCAGTCAGGTGCCCCTGGCTAACAGTGTTTTTTGAATAATTTGTTTTCATGGTATTTTCAACACTTAACAATCAGGAGATTTGATATTAAAACCCAGGTGTACACTTGTTACAAGTTGGAAAATATGGCAAAACTGGACCTGCATGTCCACTTGGCAATAATCAGTTAGACCTTTTAGTTTACATATTTTTTTTCTGCCTGGTCTTTGTAGGCATCTACATTTATGACTCCTGATCTTGAGATTGGCTCTTCTCTTTTCTGCTTGATAGTATATTGGAATGTTATTTAACTTAAAAAAATAGATTAAATTGATTGAATTGCTAATTGCTTGTGTTATTTTTTTGAGCATGTCAAGATCTCTTAAAGAGGACAGTTGAATACTAAATCAATATTTTCCTTTAAATTACTCCTAAGCCTTTTTTAAAGAAAGAAATACACATTTTTCTTCTTATGCTTTATTTCCCCTTTCCCTTTTAGCTTGGAACTGCATTGGTTGTGAGGATTAATCTTGAAAGGCTGGATAGAGCAGTTGAAAACATAATAAGAATAAGAACAAATGCTTAAAGGTGGATCATATGACCTTACTAGAAATAAAAGAAATGCGGGGGCACCTGGGTGGCTCATTCGGGTAAGCAACTTCAGCTCAGGTCCTGATCTCACAGTTCATGAGTTTGAGCCCCGGGTTGTGCTTCCTGCTGTCGGCCCCAGAGCCCACTTAAGATCTGCTGGCCCCCTGTCTCTCTGCCCCTCCCCCCGCAAAGAAATGCAAATGAAGATGAGATAGTTTCCACATATTAAATTAGCAAAATTGTTACTACTCAGTGTTGCTAAGCAGGGAAACTGTCTCTCTCTCTCTCTCTCTCTCTCTCTCTGAAAGAATGTAATTTAATACAATCTTATTGAGAAGAGTTTCGGAGTGTATATCCAACCATTTAACCAACCATTCCACTTCTAGAAAGGAAATATTTGGTCAGGTATGCAAAAGTAGATGTTGAAAGATGGTTATTATAACATTTCTATAATTAACAAAAAAAATTGGGTGTAACTTCATAATCAAAAGAATTGCTTAAATAATTCCAGTATACTAGAATATCAAATAACCATTTAAATTGTTAATAAAGATTCAGCATCAAAATTTGACTTGTAAATATCATGTAACTTAAAGAAAAAAGCCCCATCATTAAAACTGGCAAGTCTAATATTAGTCTTTATTTTTATGTAATATTTTAATGTTTCAACAAAATGCTATTCTCTTTTTTTTTTAATTTTTTTTCTTAATGTTTATTTATTTCTGAGACAGAGAGAGACAGAGCATGAGTGGGGGAGGGGCAGAGAGAGAGGGAGACACAGAATCCGATGCAGGCTCCAGGCTCCAGGCTCTGAACTGACAGCACAGAGTCCGACACGGGTCTTGAACTCACGGACCATGAGATCATGACCTGAGACGAAGTCGGTCACTCAACCGACTGAGCCACCCAGGCCCCCCAACAAAATGCTATTCTTTACCTGGTTATTATCAGATGGGTGCTGACTTGCATCAATTTGTCAAGTTCAGGAAACATTAGCTGTCAGCCAGATGGTGACATATTTGATATGAGAAATGTATTTTTGTTACACAAGTAGAATATATTGTCTTCTTTTCTAAGCCAAGACTAATATTTTGTTTCCAAAGGAAAACTCAAACATTTTCCACATTATTCTTTCTGGACAGTTGTAGGTTTTGTTCCAAAAGCAACATTCATAGATTCTCTATTTTTCTTATCAAACTTGAAATAGGCCAGATAGTTTCATGAATATACTTTGTTTATTTGTTTATTTAATTTTTAAGAAACTTATTTTTTTGGCATGAAATCTTATTTGGTATTTATTACTATGAAATTTTCATTTTGGTACAGTAATTGGTAGCAAAACTAATATTGTTATTCTAGAAAGATCTTCATTTAGGCTTTGTTGAATCTTGGTAGAGACTGACATTTTCCACAAATGGACAATATTCTAAATTAATTACTTTTTCCACCTTTTTATACAAAATGCAAATTCAAACATTGTTCCTGCATTGAATCATTGGTTAGACAAAGCCTTTTTTTAAGTGTTTTGTATATTTTAACAGTTCCGTAGACTCTTTGCAAAGTGATTTAAAAAGTAGAATATTTCATATTGATTATAATTTGATGTCACTCAGACTCAGTATGCATTTAGAAATATAAATGTTCATGTATAATAATGATGCAATCAAATGGATTAAACACTTTATATGTTGTTACTTCAATCAGAGAAAGAATATATTTTTATTGTATGTGAAGCTTCCAAATTTAATGCGAATTTCTCATAAGATTAATGTGAACTAACACCCCAATTTCTTGTTTAAGAACATGTTATTTAAAGTTTTGTTTACTTTCATAGCTCATTCTTCATATGTTTTGAGTAAGATTATTTATGTTTTACCATCTCATCTACTTTTTGAAATATTTTTCCTACAGTTATGCAGAAGGCATGGAGGGAAAGAAATCCTCCAGCTCGAATCAAAGCAGCCTATCAAGCTTTAGAATTAAACAATGAGTAAGTTTGAAATATATGGAAAGTAAGTTTGTTTTGAAGGAAACCCAGGCAAATGATTTTATGTTATCTTTTGTCTGTTCCTAAAACACTTGGAGTCATTACCAGTCCCTTTATTTTGCATACTAGAGAGAAATTTTGCAGTGTTCACATCTGTACTTTGCTTCCTAAATTACAAGCTTATCTATGCTTTTGAATAGAAATTATCCTAGAAATACTTTTTAAATGGAAAATGCTGAACTAATTGGTTATAATACTTGATAGTTAAAGAGTACTAAAATACTTATGCCACCTGTATTAATTTTGTTTTTCATTTAAGTCATTCATTTAAAGCATTCATTCAGTCCTGAGAACTTTAGTTGCTAATGGGATTGGAGGCATGAGAAGAGGATTCAAAATAAATGATATGTAGCTCTAACTTTTTTTCATGTTAAGAACATTTATTTTTTATACCTCTTTGTATCAACTCTACATTTTGAAAAGGCAAAATGTAAAATCATAATATTTAAGTGGGGCAGATCAGTAAGTGTTAATCTGATACTGAATAAATGCTAGGAATAAAAATACAGCCATAGTCAGGGTTAATCAAGAAATGCTTCCTGAATAACGTGAATTTAACATTGTCCCCTGTATCCTGCAACAAGATATATTATCCTTGTTAAGAAGACCTTTCCAAGGTGGAGCAAAATCACAGTGTGGGGAACTCCAAAAGCAGTGAATCAGCTTTATTGAAACCCTAGAAACTAATCAAAAGTTTATAACATCCTGGAGAATGCATAATCAATTAAAAAAAACAGCTGAATTTCTATAAGAGAGCATTGTGGTGTTTTAACTTACACTGACCCCATCCCCCACTCCGTAGCTCAGTGGGGCAGCCTTGAAGACAAAAAGTCTTCATTTTGGGTATAGGTTCCAACTACCAGAGGAAGTGGAATGGATTTTATTCTTAAAAATTTTGGTTGTTTATTTTGACCTGTCTGGTGTTCCCTGAAGGACCAACTTAAAAGGCTTGTCTTTATTTGGGTTAATTCTGAACTCTCCCAGCATTGACACAGCTACACTGGGGGGCATTTGTTGAAAACGTTTAAAGGCAAATGCATTAGTCCCTGCTGCCCTGGGGGCAAGGGATAACAGCTGGGGCAAACAATAGACAAATCAGAAAGCTTGTGAGGAAAGGTTGGGGAATTAGATACTTTAGGAAGTAAAGGCTTTCAAAAGCTCTCACATATTCCTGGGAATCTCAAAAGTCCCACATATACCTAAGGTTGGGCATATGCTCAGAAAAGACTTAAGAAGGCCCTAAGCTCTGTCTAAATTTCAGGTTCTGCACAAACAGAAAGTAAAGGCTAAGGCAGAATTATATGCCTGACTGAATGTTGAAGGTGTGCCCCAACACACAGAACCAATCTGCAAAGACTTGGTTTTCTTGTTTTGTTTTTGGTTCCAGGTATTTAAGGCAGTCTCTATCGCATCACTGGCTGATAAATAAGGCAACAGAGCAGAGGCTTCACTGGTCATATATGATAAAGAATACAAACTTCATAAAATTCAGAAAAGTCACTAAGCAAGTAAACAACTGCAACAGGCAACAACAGCAAGCCACGGGAAGGAGGGGGAAATCTGATTTCTAGAGTTGCTAAATTATGATATTCAAAATTTGTAGTTTTCAACAGAAAAATTACCAGACATAGAAAGAAACAAAATATATCCCATACAAAGAAAAGAAAGGAAAGGAATGGAGACTGTCCTTGAGGAAGCCCAGACTTTGGACTTTCTAGATAAAAACTTTAAATCATATTTTAAATATGCTCAAAGAGGTAGAGAAAGCCATGTACAAAGAACAAAAGGAAATCATGAGAAGAATGTTTCACCATTAGAGAATATCAATAAAGATCCCAAAATCTAGAAAGAAATCTAGGGACAAAAGTAGAAATAAATCTAGAAACAAAGACCAAGAAACTCAGTGAACCCCAAGTAAGATATAATCAGAGACATTCACATTGAGACCATAGACAAGGGGAGCAGCAAAAAAGAAGTGACTCATCATGTATGAGGGATCCTCAATAAGATTAACAGCTGATTTCTCATCAGAAACCATAGAAGCCAGAAGGCAGTGGGATGACAAAGTCAAAATTCTGAAAGAAAGAAAACTGTTAACTACAGACTCTATATCCAACAAACCTGTCCTTCAAAAATGAAGGGGAAATTAAGACATTCCCAGATGAACAGAAACTGAGAGTTCATTGCTAGTAGACGTATAATTATGCAAAATGCTAAAAGGAGTTTTTCAGGCTGAACTTAAAGGACATTAGACAGTCTTGACTCTACACAAAGCAACAAAGAACACCAGTAAAAATAATTTCATAGGCAAATACAAAAGTTAATATATTTTGGGTTTGCAATTCTTTTTTTTTAATATGACTTAAAAGACAACAATGTAAATAATTATAAATTTATGTTAATGGACGTACAGTATATAAAAATGTAATTTGTGACAATAACAGCATAAGGTGGGGGGGAAGGAGCAAAATTTTGTATACTATAGAAACTAGGTTAGTATTAATTGAAACTAGGTTGCTGTAAATTAAGAAGTTAAATATAATTGTTAATTGTTAATCACCTGAAAGTAACTAAAAAACATAGTAAAAGAAGTGACAAGGAAATCAAAATGGTATGCTAGAAAATACCTAACACAATTACTTCAGGAAATAAGGACAAAAAAGGACACATAGAAAACAAATAGGAAAATAGTAGAAACAAGTCCTTCCTTTCCATTAACTACTTACATGTAAATAGATGAAACTCTCCAGTTAAAGGCATTTTTTGGCAGAATGGATTTAAAAAATAGTTAAATCATATGCTGTCTATAAGAGACTCATTTTAGACACAGAGAAGTAGAAAGTAAAATTATGGAAAAAGATTTTCATGCAAATAGTAACCAAAAGAGAGCTGCAATGGCTAAACCAATATCAGACAAAATAGAGTTTAAGACAAAAAATATTTTTTTAAATTTTTTAATGTTATTTTTGAGAGTGGAGGGGATGGGCAGAGAGGGAGGAAGCCAGAGGATCCAAAGCAGGCTCTGTGCTTACACGGAGAACCCGATGTGGGGCTTGAACTCATGAACCATGAGTGACCTGAGCCAAAGTCGGACAATTAACCAACTGAGATGCCCCAAGACAAAATTTTTATGAGACAATTACATTATCTAATGATAAAAGAGGTTCAGTTTATTAAGAATACACAACAATTTTAAACTCACATGCATCTCTAATAACAAAGCCCCAAAATATATGAAGCAAAAACTGACAGAATTGAAGGAAGGTAATAGACGGTTCAACAATAATAGTTGGAAACTTCAACATGCAATTTCAATAATGGATAGAATAATTAGACAAAAGATACACAATGAAATGAAAGACTTGAAGAACACTATAAACTAATTAGACCTAACAGACATCTGTATAGTACTCTACCCAACAACAGTGGAATACATGTTCATCTCAAGTGTACATGGAACATTCTCTAAGATGCATCACATATTATGATATAAACAATTCTCAATAAATTTCAAAACATTGAAATTATATAAACTATTCACTGCAACCATATTTTCTAATAAAATTAGAAATCAATAACAAGGAAATCTGGAAATTCCACAATATTGGAATATGTGGAAGTTAGACAAGTTTTAACCATGAGTCAAAGAATAAATCACAAGGAAAAAATCAGAAAATACTTTGTGATGAGTGAAAATGAAAGCACAACATACCAAAACTTATGAGACACAGAGAAAGCAGTGCTCAGAGAAAAATTTATAGCTGTAAACACTTGCATTAATAAAAAAGATCTCAAATCAATAACTTAAACTTTATACCTTCCTTAACAAATGAGAAGATGGGGGCGCCTAGGTGGCTCAATTGGTTCAGCAACCGACTTCGGCTCAGGGCATGATCTCACAGTTCGTGGGTTCAAGCCCTGTGTTGGCCCCTGTGCTGAAAGCTTAGAGCCTGGAACCTGCTTTGGATTCTGTGTCTCCCTCTCTCTCTGCCCCTTCCCCACTCCTCTGTCTCTCTGAAAATTAAATAAACATTAAAAAAAATTTTTTAAATGGGATGGGGGATGGGCTAAATGGGTAAGGGGCATTAAGGAATCTACTCCTGAAATCATTGTTGCACTGCATGCTAACTAACTTGGTGTAAATTTAAAAAAATAAATAAAAATTAAAAAAATGAAAAAAAGAAATGAGAATATGAAGAGCTAACTAAACAACAAACAGAAGGCAGTAACAAAGATTAGAGTGAGATAAACAAAATAGAGTAGAAAAAAAGAATGAGGCCAGAGGTTGGTTTTTTAAAAGATCAACAAAATTGACAAACTTTTTAGCCAGACTAGAAAAGAGATAAGACTCAGATTACTAAAACTAAGAATGAAACTGAGAACATTACTGCTGACCTTATAGAAATGAAAAACATAAGAGAATTCAGTGAATAATTATATGCATACAAATTAGATAAATGGACACATTTCTAACAACACAGTACCAAGACTGACCCAAGATGAAATGGAAAATCTGAATAGACCTGTAACAAGTGAAGAGATGGAATCAATAATTTAAAAACTTCCAAACAAAGGCAACCAGGACTAGATCCCTTCACTGGCAAATGCTACCAAGCACTTGAAGAAGAAATAACACCAGTTCTTAAACTCTTCAAAGAAATAGAAGGGAAGTAACTCTTCCTAACTCATTCTGTGTAGCCAGTATTGCCCTCATACCAAAATCAAACAAAGACATCACAAGAAACAAAAACTATAGGTTAATGTCCATTATGAATACAGATGCAGAAATCCTCACCAAAATACTAGCATGGAAAATCCAGCAGCATGTCAGAAGAATTATATACCATGAACAAATGGGATTTATCCCAAGAAGGCAAGGGTGGTTTAAAATACGAAGATCAGGAGCTCCTGGCTGGCTCAGTCAGAAGTGCATGTGACTCTTGATCTCATGATGCGTTTGAGCCCCATGTGGGGTGTAGCGATTACTTAAGTAAATAAAACTTGGGGCGCCTGGGTGGCGCAGTCGGTTAAGCGTCCGACTTCAGCCAGGTCACGATCTCGCGGTCCGTGAGTTCGAGCCCCGCGTCGGGCTCTGGGCTGATGGCGCGGAGCCTGGAGCCTGTTTCCGATTCTGTGTCTCCCTCTCTCTCTGCCCCTCCCCCGTTCATGCTCTGTCTCTCTCTGTCCCAAAAATAAATAAAAACGTTGAAAAAAAAATTAAAAAAAAAAAAAAACTTAAAAAAATATGGGGGCACCTGGATGGTTCAATTAGTTAAGCATCCAACTCTTGATTTCAGTTCAGGTCGTGATCTCACAGTTCCTGAGTTTGAGCCCATGTCAGTCTCCATGCTGATGGTGTGCAGCCTGCTGGAGATTCTCTCTCCCTCCCTCTCTGCCCCTCCTCTGCTCTCCCTCTCTCTTTCTCTCAAAATAAATAAACTTTTTTAAAAATATGAAAATCAGTCAATGTAAGATACCACATTAATAGAAAAAAGAATGAGAACCACGTGGTCATCTCTATTGATGCAGAAAAGGTATTTGACAAAATCCAACACCATTTTATGGTAAAAACACTAAAAAAAAAAAAAGGACAGGAATGGAAGGAAACTTCCTTAAACTGCCACTTCCTGCCACTTCTATTTAACATTGGACTGGAAAGGTTAGCCAGTGCAATTTGGTAAGAATGGGGGAGAAATGGCTTCCAAATCATAAAGGAAAAAGTAAAACTTTATTCACAGATTACATGATCTTATGCATAGAAATCCCAAAGAATCCACACACAAAAAAACTGGTAGAGCTAACAAAAGAGTTCAACAAAGTTATTGTCTATAGGACATAAAACAAATAGGAAATGGCAGAAACAAGTCCTTCTTAATGTCTGTCATATATCTATACACTAATAGTAGATAGTCTGTAAAAGAAATTTGAAAAACAATTCCATTTATAATAGCATCAAAAATGGTAAAATATTTAAAGATTAAATTTAACCAAGGAGTGCTTTGTACACTAAAAATGACGAAGTATTTTTGAAAAAGTTAAAGAAGACTTAAGTAAATGGAAAGACATCCCATGTTCATGAATTGGAATACTTAATATTGTTAAGATAGCAGCACTCCTCAAGCTGATCTTCAAATTCAGTACAATTCCTGTCAGGATTTCAGTAGCCATGATTATGAAATGGACCAGCCGATCCTAAAATTCACATGGAATTGTAAGAGCCCTCAAAGAGCCAAAACAATCTTGAAAAAGAATAAAGTTGGAGAACTCACTTCCTGATTTCAAAACTTACTATGAAGCTGCAGTAATTAAATAAAGATAGACATCTAGGTTGATGGAATCAAATTGTGAGTCCAGAAATAAACCCATGCATTTATGGCCAATTGATTTTTGTGCCAGGACCATTTTTTAAAAATGTTTATTTATTTATTTTGAGAGAGAAAGAGAGAGAGTGAGCAGGGAAGGGCAGAGAGAAGGGAGAGAGAGAATCCCAAGCAGGCTCCATGCTGTCAGCCTAGAGCCCAATGTGGGGCTCACTCTCACAAACCATGAGATCATGACCTGAGCCAAAATCAAGAGTCTGGCACTTAACCAGTTGAGTCACCCAGTGCCCCTGACAAGGTTGCCAAGACCATTGCATGGGGGAAAGAATAGTTTTTTCATTAAGTGATACTGGGCAAATGGATAACTACGTAAAAAAGCAACCCTTACATCACATCGTAAACAATTAAAAATCAGAAACCTAAATTTATGAGCTAGAACTATAAACTCCTAGAAGAAGACAGGGGCAAATTTTCAAGACTGGATTTGGCAATGGTTTCTTAGATATGACACCAAAAGCGCAAGCAACAAAAACAAAAACAAAAAAATTAGATAAATTAGACTTCATCAAAATTAAAAGCTTTTGTGCATTGAAGGATACTATCAAGAAAGTGAAAAGACAACCCACAGAATGAGAGAAAATGTTTGCAAGCCATATTTGATGAGTCTAGCATCCAGAATATATCAAGAGCTGTTAACAACTCAATAACAAAAAGATAACCCAATTAAAAATGAACAAAGGATTTGAATAGACATTTCTTCAAAGAAGATATATAAATGACCAATAAGCACATGTAAAGGTGGTTGACATCATTCATCACTAGGGAAATTAAAATGAAAGCAACAAGATGGGTATAACAAAAACCTCCAGAAAATACCAAATGTTTGCAAAAATGTGGAGAAATCAGAACCCTCACACATTGCAGGTAGGAATGTAAAATGGTATAGCCACTGTGGAAAACAGTTTGGCAGTTTGTCATAAAGATAAAACTAGAACCATCATATGCCCAGCAGTTCCACAGCTAGGCATATGCTGAAGAGTACTGAAAGCAGGTGTTCAAACAGAAACTTTTAAACAGATGTTCCCAGCAGTATAATAGCCTCAAACTGGAACCAACCCAGATGGCCATCAGGTGGTGATGAATGGATAAACAGAATGTGGTGTATCTATACAATGGAATATTATTCAGTCATAAAAAGGAGTGAAATACAGCCACATGCTACATGAATGAATCTTGTAAATATATTAAAAGTCTGTGGATGACATACTTTAAAATGGCTAATTTTGTGATGTGAATTTTACATTAATTTTAAAAAAAGCAACACTCCTAATAATTATTTCAATATTCATAAAATTAATTTCTGTATTAACATGTCCATTAAAAATATTTTTGAACAAATACAAGAAAGCTCTGAGAGGAAAGAACTTCTTTTTATCATATAGCTATGCTATAATTTAAAATATATTCATATTTTGATTCTACTCCATCAATTTATACCTATCTAGATCTTTTAAAAGTGCTTTTATTTTGTTATTTAAAAGCATTTGAATTATGTTTAGAATGGCAGTTTGGGAGCCTAGCGTTTAAAGCAGCAATATATCTAATGCTTCAGAGAAATCTAATATAATGTAATAGCAAAATGTCTGTTGATGAGTGAAATTATCATATAGTCAATTTAGTGTAGTATTTGAAGGATGCTGAAATAGTCCAGTTTCCATTTGTTACATTCAAAAGATCCTTCTTGTCCCCAGTTGTTTGATAGTTACCTTGCCATCATTTTTGTTTTATGCCTGGTCTTGTAGTTTTACCAACAATTTCTCTTCTCTTCCTAAATACTGTTCAATAGAAACATAACATGATCCACATAAGTAACTTTAAATTTTCTGGTAGCCAGATTTAAAAAGTAAAAAGAAATAAGTGAAATTAACCTAAATAATATATCTTCTTAAGCTGTATTCAAAATATTAAAATATTATTTTAACATATAATCAATATATTTTTTAAACTTTTAAAGTATTTTGTATTCTTCCAAGTCTTCAAAAGCCATTGTGCACTTTGCACTGACCTCCCATCTTAGTTCAGATTAGGCACACTTCAAGTGGTCAGTAACTACATGTGGTAATGACTACAGTACTTGACAGTGCAGGCTTAGATAACTAGCATACTGTCTCCAGGAGAGATGTACTTGCTGTTTTTTGAAATGGAAAGGAAACTTTTTCTCTTTTTTTGCCCCCAAACAGGTTAATTTCTCTTTATTAGCCAGCTTTTGACTTAATTGATACAAAGAGAAATCTTTGTGTTTCAGTAGGGTGAAGAAACTTAGAGTGAGTGTGGGTGTGACAAGTATGAGCAACAGTGCAGGAGGAAAGACTAGAATTCAGACCAAGGGAGTTTTGCCACAACATGATTGTGGTTAAGTCTAAGAGAGGATGGGGTAGCATGCAGAAGGAAGGCCCAGGGTTGGGAAAAAGGGCTATTTCTGAAATGATCGGTTTCTAAGTCATATGTTAAAAGTGCCTAGTTGGCTGTGGGACTTTCTTCTCAATCTTCACCATCTTCCATACCTGCCCTCATTAGATCGATATTAACAATATAGAGTGGCTAAGAGTAGGCATGACAACTAGAATGCATAGTCCCTTGAACTGCTTTCTACATAATTCTTTATATATCTTACTTTCTTATCCCTTTCCCCAAAGAAAAATATGGGACAAACAGAGAATGGATATAGAAGTAAAATAGAAAATAAAGAGGAGAAAGGTAGGAAAGGAGAAAAATTGTGGAAACACACAAAAAATATACCAATATACCCCTAATAAATTATAAAGTACTGAGTGAGGTTTTCTTTTTTTCCTCCAAGAGATGGAAAGTCTAGGTAAAGGTAGGGAAATGTGATGCAGAACAAAGGGACATATCCAAGAGAAAATACTTGCCTTAACCATTTTACTTAAAATTGCCTTACTTGCTTTCTTCATAGCTGTGCCACTGCATATGTTCTACTGGCTGAGGAAGAAGCAACAACTATTGTGGATGCTGAAAGGTTATTTAAACAGGCACTCAAGGCAGGAGAGACAATTTACAGGCGGTCACAGCAGTGCCAGCACCAAAGTCCTCAGCACGAAGCTCAACTGAGTAAGCAAATCTGAACTGATTTTACCTTTTAGCTCCTGAAATTGGCTCATTTATGTTTAAGACACAAACAACAAGTAAAAAAACAAAAACACACAGAAAAAAATCCTTACTATTTCGAGGTTAGCTTCTTTTCAGAAGAGATAGCTAATGTATTCATAATGTCTGCAAGCCAGCAAGACAAATATGCATTAGCTAGAGAATGCTTACAGAAGGGAACAGATGTGCTCTGGTTATTGAGAGATGTGCTGCTCTTAGACTTAACAGTAATTTATTTCATGTGAAAATTGGGTTGGTCATTGGAGAAATACAGCTCAAAAATATTCAAGATTCAGGAGACCGTTCTAGTAACGATAAGCAGGTATTACCTTTATCCTCACCCTTACCCCAAGCAATGGTGAAAGTACATCATTTGGTTTGCTCTTCAGACTGTATGTATCTCCACAGAGTGCCAGGGAGTCAGCCCTTTGGTATAAAAATTCAGCCTTACACTTGGCATTGATTCTTTCTTTGACTTTTCTCTATGATGTGTTTGAGAGCATATGGGCCATAGCAACTGAAATTCTTTCCACTCTTAGGGATACTCTCTCAGCTGTGATTGAGATACTTCCACCAAAGATGTTAGAATCTGTAGTGCTGTTGCCTCCTGCTATTTTTTGTGGCCAGAGCATTTTAGTTTAATGATTTTGGCAGATTATGGGCAATAAATTGAAATATGTTTACATAATGTATTATCTGCTAGCAGTTAAGTTCTAAATCTTTTGTTTGTGGAAATTAAAATTTGGATAATGTTTTCTCTCCAAACTAAATATTGATGTATACAGTATGTTTCATTAATGTATGTTGTTATGGCATACAACTGTGGGAATATATAATTTTGCAGTCTGGAACTAATGAAACTACATCTGTGAAAAAGCCATGCCATTTGTCTTTGTATAATCTCAAATATGATTATGAGGTACTTACAGAAATATTTGTTAGCTCTTTCTAGAAATAGTTTTATAGTTTGTTAGTTACTAGGTGTTGAGCAAAAGTTCACTCTAGCCATGGAAATTTTGTTTTGAACATATTTTATCAGTTAAAACAATAGAGAATGTTAAAATAATAGGTTGTTTACGCAGAAACTCAATAGGTTAGATTTATTTTTTCTATTTAATGTATATATTTCTTCTATGTTAATATTAAAATATACTTGTCAAGTATACACAAATTAATTTATAATGTACTCAGATTACTTACTGTTAGAGGCAAAAGTAATTCTGTATATATGGAAAGATTTTAAGCTTTTACCATAAAAAACTTCACACATACACAAAAATAGCATAATGAACTCTCATTCAATGTTCATCACCCAAATTCAATAATCATTCCATTTGGAAACAATTTAATTTTAATTGAAGCTTCCAGGGTAAGCCAATAAAATTAATGGATAATATGTTAATGAAATAGTAGGTCATAATACAAAGTGATAGTTGTGTCATTTTTTTTTTTAATAGGAAGAGATACGAATGTACTGGTATATATTAAAAGAAGATTAGCAATGTGTGCAAGAAAATTAGGAAGAATAAGAGAAGCAGTAAAAATAATGAGAGATGTAAGTAAATTTGATGATTGGATGTTTATAATTTTTCCTTGAAAAACTGAAAATGTGGTTTAAGTTGCCAGTTATTTTAATGCAAAATCATTATTTTTTAAATGGTAGTCTTTATAACAAGATATTTATTTAATATACGTACATTTCTTAAGGGTTGAGTCTTCACAGTTTTGTTAAGACACTAAAGAATTTCTACTTTAATGAATCAGATTCAGCTCTGTTGAGTTCCTTTGCTATAATTTTAATCTTTTTTTCCTTTTAATGTACAGCTGATGAAAGAATTTCCTCCTCTTACCATGTTGAACATCCATGAGAATCTCCTAGAATCACTTTTAGAATTACAGGCCTATGCAGATGTTCAGGCAGTCCTAGCAAAATATGATGGTGAGTGATAATTGACTTAGTTGATAGCATGGTTAAAATATTTTTTCAATTATGTAATCATAAATATGATTCTGTTCTGGTATTTCTTTGATTTTCTCTTCCTATTCTATTAAAATTTTTTTTTTTTCAACGTTTTTATTTATTTTTTTTGGGACAGAGAGAGACAGAGCATGAATGGGGGAGGGGCAGAGAGAGAGGGAGACACAGAATCGGAAACAGGCTCCAGGCTCTGAGCCATCAGCCCAGAGCCTGACGCGGGGCTCGAACTCACGGACCGCGAGATCGTGACCTGGCTGAAGTCGGACGCTTAACCGACTGCGCCACCCAGGTGCCCCTTTCTCTTCCTATTCTAAACAGTCAGTATTTAGAATCCATGGATACAGTTATATTAAGTACTTTCTTTATCAGGACTTTTGGGAGCAAAAGCCTGCAGGGAGGAACTTTTCTTCTGTAAAGATTTATTCATTTGTTTATTCAGCACCCAATAGGAGTGAGGCACTTGGAATACAGTGGTGAATGAGAAGACATGGACTTAGTCCTTGTAGGATTTACAGTTTAGCAAAGGAACATACAGACAAATGAATAGTAGTTGTATTGAAGCATAGTGTGTTAGGTGAGATAATTGGAAAAGTATGGGGTGCTGTAGACATAGGATGGTGCCTTATTTGTTTTGGAGTATCAGAGACCGTTAACAAGTTGCATGAGTAATTCAGAATAACATTTTTAAAATGCTTTTTGATTACAAAGTGTAATTTATTTCATATCTGTATAATACTCTTGTGAGGTGGTAGGACAGGTTTTTTTTTTTTTTTTTTGCTCTTGTTAGTGAAACAAGGAAACTGGAGTTGAAGAAGGTAAGTAATTGGGTAAGGTCTCCCAGCCAGTAAGTGGTAAGCCTGCACTTAAATCCAGGTGTTCCATTTCTTTGTTTACTAGTCTTCCAATAGTAAAAAGTCAGTATGTATTGGCTATTTATTATTATACTAAACAGTGCCAGTTCACCACAAATGGAGTTGGGAGAATTTTTAAGAAGCATAGCATAATGTTTCTGGTCATATCTTTTACTGTAACAGAGCATGTACAAGTCACTTATTCATCCTTGTTCTGTTATAAGTTCCTATCCATTAGTTTGGGAATCCCCATGACTTGGAAAGTTTGAAATGTGTTACCCTTGGAAAGAGAAATTTATTTCTTTGAAACATCTGGAATTCTTAGGAAGTGCTTCACAATAGTGTAGGCTCATGAAGAAATTTGTGAGAAATTCTTTCCATATGTAATTTATTGGGTACATGGCCTGCTTATGATACTTACATGACCAAGCTTAGGAACCAAATACTAAAAATCAGATAGGACCTGATTCATTCAAAATAAAACTAACAACTTAGATATACTTCTGTGTTTTCAGTTGATTTTATGATTCCGGAGTTTTTACTGTTCTAGAATCTTGTAGAAGTTAAAAGCAAATTTCTTTCTTTCTTTCTTTTTTTAATGTTTATTAATTTTTGAGAGAGGGAGAGTGCAAGCGGGGGAGAGGCAGAGATTGAGGCAACAGAATTGGAAGCAGGCTCTAGGCTCTGAGCTGTCAAGCCTGATGCAGGGCTTGAATTCACAAGCCATGAGATCATGACCTGAGCCAAAGTTGGACGCTCAACCAACTGAGCTACCCAGGCACTCTACAGATTTATTTCTTTAGTTCTCTATTTGCTGGTATAATTCTGGAATCTAAAACTCAAGGTCCTCGGGGCGCCTGGGTGGCTCATTTGGTTAAGCGTCCGACTTCAGCTCAGGTCACAATCTCGCGGTCTGTGAGTTCAAGCCCCGCGTTGCGCTCTGGGCTGATGGCTCAGAGCCTGGAGCCTGCTTCGGATTCTGTGTCTCCCTCTCTCTCTGCCCCTCCCCCGTTCATGCTCTGTCTCTCTCTCTCAAAAATAAATTTAAAAAAGAAAACGCTAAAAAAATTAAAAAAAAATTAAAATAAAATAAAACTCAAGGTCCTCAAGTCTTACTTCCCTGATAACATTATTGTGTGCATTCTTTAAGAAAGGATTTATATAACTAATTATATTATAATTCCTGATTAATTTTTTTAATTTTTTTAAAAAGTCATTTAAGAAAATGTAGAAAATACAGAAATATTGTAAGGAGAAAGAATTAAAATCATCTGTTGTATTACCTGGATTTAACTACTATTAAGTATTTCTACTTTTTTAATCTTAGTTTTTCTCTGTGAAAGGTGGAATTTTCAGTATTTCCAGCTATAACTAAATGTTTTTCCCTGAATACTCCTATGTAAGCATAGCATAAACATTTGTTGAGTGCTTTTCACCATTGTATGAGGGCTTTCACAGACATAATTTAATTACTCTCTGCCAGAAAAGTATTACTTCTCTATTCTGAGAAGAGAAAACTAAGGTTAAAGGTTAAAGAAGTTGCTACTAGTTCAAGGATGCATAGCTAGTAAATACTAGAATCAGGATTAAAACTCAGGTCTGCATGTCTAACTACATGTCCACATGCTTCTACTACTGTGTTGCATCTGTTGATTTTGTATCATGAATTATTCTTATTAAAAATGTCTTAAGATATGTTTTGTAATTCTTACCTGAGTTGAAAATTACAATTACAGATATAAGCCTTCCAAAGTCAGCAGCAATCTGTTACACAGCAGCACTATTGAAGACAAGGACTGTTTCAGATAAGTAAGTAATGAAAACTACGGTAATTTAGAAAGACTGCTAAACTCAACATGGGTTTCTCCTGCTGTCTGAAAGTTTACTTTATGCCACCTCGCTTTTGCAAGAGACCTGCATTAATATATGTGTTCACTAACCGAAAGAAATCCAAACAGGATTCTCACTTTCATGAAAAGGTAATTGCTTCTTCACTTTATGCCATTCCAGCTTAAGGAAAGGTTTGATAGAAACACTCACAGATAGCAGGGGAAACTGTGTTATGTTTTTCACCACCGACTTTAAACAATGCTTTTTCCTCTCTACTTCCTTTTGAATAACCCTTGATCTTGTGAGGCTTCTTACTAGTGTAGTGGAAAAAGCAAGGTTTTTAGAGCTATACTAAACCTGAATTCCAATTCAAAGTCTACTGCATACCAGCTGTGGAACTTTGGGCATGTTAATCAGTTTGAGTCTCTTCCTCTCTGTAAAGTGAGAATAAAGCATGGGTATGTGAGGATTGTGTGTGTTAAATGCTTAAAGCAATGCTAGAAAGTACAGAGAGTAGCTATAATGGTACTGATAAGGTGTGTGGTGGGGAAATAGTTTCATACTATCTGTTCTGAGATTATAATTTCAAGTTATTCTGTTTATCTTTATCCTTTGGGCTGCCCTTAATGAATTTCTCTTTATTCCACAGATAAAATTTTCAGAAACCAACCAAATGGCAACCATTTTTTTCACCTTAGATTACTATGCCTTGATATAAATTAGAATGGAATATTACTCTTTCCTCTCAGTGAAAATTTAATAACAATGTACTTCCATTTCATGAGACTCTCTGGATGTCCCTGTGTAGCATTTTATATTTACTGCCTTTCCCAGAGTGTGCCTTCAATGGACTTCGAAGGCTTTCCTTACCTAAATTTGAGGATTTCCATTGCTTATGCTGCTTTTCTTTATATGTTAAACTAAATAAAGGCTTTACTTTCACGTTTACTAGTTATTTGGCTTTGTCTTTGGCCATCACCAGAAACCCCTGATTCAGGAAGTTAGATTATGATGAAAATCATGGATTTTTACATTCATTTGTTCATTTTGTGGTTTTCTTATAGATTCTGTCCTGAAACAGCCTCCAGAAGAGGGCTAAGCATGGCAGAAATTAATGCTGTGGAAGCAATTCATAGAGCTGTGGAATTTAATCCTCATGTTCCAAAAGTGAGAAATTTTATGATGAAACTACTACTTTTATTTAAGTTTATCAAATTCATGAAAGTATGTAGACCAAATTTGGGTCTCCATAATTTGAGTCAGAATTGTTTTAGTCTGTTATATTTTGATAGTCACTATACGGGGGATGTTAAAAGGCATTTAGCAAGGTGAATAGGAGCAGGAGTTCACTCTAGGCTTTGTAATTGCTTTCAAAATAAAATTTGAAATGTATTCACCTAGCTGTTCCTTTTACTTTAGTTATAGAGAAGAAATAAAATGGCATGGTCTTAATAAAAGATCATTCATTTTTCAGATCATTAAATCAAATTTCCTGTTACTGTAAAAGCTTTTTACTTCTAGACAGATGCCTGTGTTTTTGAACTAGGGATAGACAAAGACTGAAGACAAATAGATTAAAATAATCAATGATAGGAAACAGATGTGGAAGTTCCCAGAAAAACTGCTGAGTTGATGTTTATTTAGTCCCAGATGAAACTATACCCATCTCGTTTGTCTTTATATTATACACCTTGCAGACATACAGATTATTGGTTAATCTTTGTGACTTATCACCCGAGATTAAATTTGGGGTTTTAAAAGCAATGCTCCATGTTAGGAACTATAGAATATTCAAGAATATATGCATCTGTTACCAAATGTAATTATAACTGTTGATTCCAGTATAATGTACGATAATGGAATTTGGAAGCAAGTAAACATTAAAGAGATTAATCTCTAAAAGATAATCTCCAAGAAATTGAAGTTGTAAGTCTCTTAGAGTAAGTATAGAGTTAAGAAAATTACTGAAATTTAAGAATGACAGTCAACAAATATTCATACCATTCTCTTATTGACACTGGTCCCATTAATTTAAATTTTATTTTTAATTGTATTACATATATATCAAAGTGTAAAAAGCAGAAATGTGGATCTTAATGATTTATTATAAAGCAAATGAGTGAAAACTACCATTGAGGTCAAGAACCACCTTGCCATCCCCCAGAAACTATGCTTCCTTCCCTCCTGCTTAAAGGTAACCACTGTTGTGACATGAATTATGTTCACTTTCTTTTTTTCTTATGTTTTTGGCCTGTACTTTTCATTGTTGGCTTTATAAAATAAGTTAGGAGTGGTCTCTGTGTTTTTAAATTCTCTGGAATAATTTGTGTAAAATTAGAATTATTTCTGTCTTAAATAATCGAGAGAATTTGTTGATAGAGCCATCTGATTCTGGAGTTTCCTTTGTGAGAAGGATTTTCATTACAAATTTCATTTCTTTAATAGGTGAATTATAAATTTAGTTTCTGTATTTCATAACTATTCAAATTTCCTCATTCTTCTTGTGTTGGTTTTTGTTAAGTTGTATTTTTCTAGGAATTTATTTCATTATAATTTATTGGCATAAAGATTTCATAAAATCCTTTTATTATCTTGTTAATGTTTGCAGGATCAGTTGTGATATCTACTATTTAGTTCCTAACACTGGCTACCATTTTTTTTTCTTGACCAGATTCCCCAGGGATCTATGAATTTTATTAGTCTCTGCAAAGAACCAAGCTCTGGCTTTGACAGTCTGCTCTACTGTTTATTTTCTGGTTCATTCATTTCTGCTCTTTATGGCCTTTCTTCAACTTACTTTGGCTCTATTTTATTATTTTTTATTTCCTGTATCTTTTTATATAGTTACTTAAGTTAACTCATTAGTTTCAGTCTTTCTTCTTTCTAATATATTTGTTCAAGTCTAGAAACCTCTAAGTACAATTTTAACTGCATACTATAGTAATATTTTGTGTATAATTTAATTCAACATATTTTCTAATTTCCATCTTGATTTCCTCTTTGATTTAGAGATACATTTATTCCATTTGGCTATTTCTTAATTTCCAAACATGCGAAGATTATCTTTTTATCAATGATTTCTAGCATGATTGCATTATGTCCATGATTTCACTCCTTTGAAACATTTTTCAGTTCTTGAATTTCTGTTTATTTTTCACATCTCCTTTGCTATTTATAGTTTCTAATTCTCTGCCAAAATTTAAAGTATAGTCTTTTATCTCTGTGAAAATAGTTTAAAGTAGTTATCTTAAAGTCTTTTTCTGATAATCCCCATATCTGGAACTTCTGTGTCTGTTTCTATAATGTGTTTTTTTTTTTTTTTCTGCTACATTATGTTCTTCTTGTCTTCTCTTATACCTGATTTTCTTTGACTATGTATCTGATATTTTACCTGAAAAAATTGTAGAAATAACTTGAAACCTCAGATAATAATATCTTCCTTCGGAGAGTATTTTATTTGCTCTTAGATGCCTAGGAGAAGCAATTAGCAGGGCAGAATCACCTTAATTCAGTTTCAGGGATTGATATTTTCTGGTCTACCTAGATGACTAGAAACTGGGCTGTAGCCCGTGAAAGTTTGGGTTTGTATCTGGTTCACCCCTATTCCTAGGATGCAGCCGTTCTGGATACCAATCCAACCCTGAGAGTTTTACCAGGGCCTTCACTCTTGACATACCTTGAACTCCTGACTTTTGTTCCTTTAGCCTAATAAAACTGGCAGAAAGTTTGAACAGCCTCTTTGCCATCTTGTCCAAAATTGGCAAATGTCTCTATGGTAAAAGAAGCCCCAAATGTGGTTTACTTCTCCAATTTTTGCCTTCTTTAGACTGTGGGCTGCTAATTCCTTACCCTTTGTGAATTCTCTGATGCATTTGATTGGATTTTTAAAAATATTTTGTTCAGCTTTTCTAGTTGTCTGAGAGGGTTGATTTGAATTACCCAGTGTTCCATTACTGGAAGCAGAGGTCTGAAAATAACTCCAAATGAAATGCTCTGTTCTCTCATGCTGCAGAGTGGTTAAGAGCATGGATTCTGCAACTAAACTGCCTACGTTTGAATTCTGGCTCCACTACTTCCTAGCTGTATAACCTTGGACAAGTTACTCAGCTTCTCTCGAGTGACCTCATGTGTAAAATGGGAATAATATTTCTTATCCTTCAGAGTTATTAATTGAGATTAGATGAGTTCATATCCTTCAAGAGCTTAGAAGAAGGCCTGACACACAGTAAACGTTTCAGAAGTGATTTGTATCATTATTATCCAGGATGGGATGGAAATCTTCCTGTGTGAGAAGATAAGCAATTGTTATTAACCGAACTATTCAAATTAAATACATCACTAAGATGTCTAAAAATTTTATTTAATTCTCACTAAGAATAACAAAATATGGACCATGTATACCCTGTAGTTGTGGACTTGGTTTCTGTTTCACAAATCCTCTCATACAAAGTGTATTCTCAGCAGTAACAATTCTGATGATGTGCATTGTGCATTGGTCTTCAAAACTACTGCTGGAGGCACTTGGGTACAAGGGAGGGTAGTAGAAATCCTAGGCATTGCCCTAATTAAATTAAATTGTTGGATAGATAATATATCCAGATTGAATCTGCTCTAGATAATCTATAATGCTTTTAGGGGATACTTTTTTTTTTATCTTGAACACACACACAAGAAATTAAAGAAGACCTAAATAAATGGAGATATGTTCCATGTTTATGGATTAGAAGACTCAGTATTGTTAAGACCACAGTTGTCTCCAAATCGATCTATGGATTCAATCTAATTCCTATTAAAATCTTATCAGGCTTGTTCGTAGAAATTCACAAACTCATCCTAAAATTGATACGAAAATTCAAAAGACCTAAAATAGCCAAAACAATTTTGAGAAAGGAGAACAAAGTTGGAATTCACCCAAATTTATCCAATTTTAAGACATTCAAAAAAATTTTTTAATGTTTGTTTATTTCTGAGAGAGAGACAGAGCACGAGCAGGGGAGGGGCAGAGAGAGAGGGAGACACAGAATCGGAAGCAGGCTCCAGGCTCTGAGCTGTCAGCACAGAGCCAGAGGCAGGGCTTGAACTCATGAGCTGTGAGATCATGACCTGAGCTGAAGTTGGACGCCCAACCCAGGTGCCCCAATTTTAAGACATTTTTAAAGCTACAGTAATTAAAATAGTATAATATTGGCATAAATATTGAAATGTAGATCAATAGAAGACAATAGAGAATCCTGAAACAAACTCACATAATGATCAGTTGATTTTCAACGAGAGTTCCCAAGCAATTCAGTGGGAAAGGATAGTATTTTCTATGGTGCTGGAACAATCAATATGGAGAAAAAAAAGAAGGACCCAGACCCTTCCTTCATACCAAATATAAAAAGGCACTCAATATGGATCATAGATCTAAATATAAGAGGTAAAATTATAAAACTTCGAGCTTTGTGACCTCAGGTTAGGCAAAGATTTCTTCAAAATCATGCTCCATAAGAGAAAAAATTGATAAATTGGACTTCTTAAAACATTTGCTCTTCAAAAGACATCATTAAGAAAATGGAAAGCCAAAGACTGGGGGAAAACATTTGCAAGTCATATACTGTTGAAGTTCTGTACCCAGAACTCAGAAAGAACTCTTACAACTCAATAAGAGGACAAAAAACTTATTTAAAACATGAGTAAAGGGAAAAAAAATGGGTAAAGGATTGAATAGTCACTTCACCAAAGAAGATATATGTATAGCTAATAATCACATCAGAAGATAGCATCATGAGTCATTGGGGAAATGCAAATTAAAAGCACAATATGGTACTACTTTATACCCACTCAACTGGCTATACTCACAAAGACCAACAAAATCAGCTGTTGGCAAGAATATGGAGAAACTGTGTACATTCCTGCTAGGTATATAAAATAGTATAGCTACTTTGGAAACAATTTTGCAGTTAAACATACACTTGCCATATGACCCATCCATTTCATTCCTAGGTATCTACCCAAGAGAAGGGAAAACCTAGGTCTACACAAAGACTTGTGTGCAAGTGTTAATCGTAGTATTATGCACAATAGCCAAAAACATGAAACAGTCAAACACAAGTAAATGAACAAGTAAATTGTAGTATCTCCATGTAATGGAACACTTCTTAGTACTAAAAAGGAGCAAACTATAA